TTGCCTTTAAATTGTTTAACTTGGGTCAAACGTTTTGGGTAGCCTTCCACAAGCTTCCCACAATAAGTTGGGTGAATTTTGGCCCATTCCTCCTGACAGAGCTGGTGTAACTGAGTCAGGTTTGTAGGCCTCCTTGCTCGCACACGCTCTTTCAGTTCTGCCACACAAATGTTCTATAGGATTGAGGTCAAGGCTTTGTGATGGCCACTCCAATACCTTGACTTTGTTGTCCTTAAGCCATTTTGCCACAACTTTGGAAGTATGCTTGGGTTCATTGTCCATTTGGAAGACCCATTTGCGACCAAGCTTTAACTTCCTGACTGATGTCTTGAGATGTTGCTTCAATATATCCACATAATTTTCCTTCCTCATGATGCCATCTATTTTGTGAAGTGCACCAGTCCCTCCTGCAGCAAAGCACCCCCACGTGCTTCACGGTCGGGATGGTGTTCTTCGGCTTGCAAGCCTTCCCCTTTTTCCTCCAAACATAACGATGGTCATTATGACCAAACAGTTCTATTTTTGTTTCATCAGACCAGAGGACATTTCTCCAAAAAGTACGATCTTTGTCCCCATGTGCAGTTGCAAACCGTAGTCTGGCTTTTTTATGGCTGTTTTGGAGCAGTGGCTTCTTCCTTGCTGAGCGGCCTTTCACGTTATGTTGATATAGGACTCGTTTTACTGTGGATATAGATACTTTGGTACCGGTTTCCTCCAGCATCTTCACAAGGTCCTTTGCTGTTTGTTCACACAAAAGTAAGTTAATCTCTAGGAGACAGAACGCGTCTCCTTCCTGAGCGGTATGACGGCTGCGTGGTCCCATGATGTTTATACTTGCATACTATTGTTTGTACAGATGAACGTGGTACCTTCAGGCATTTGGAAATTGCTCCCAAGGATGAACCAGACTTGTGGAGGTCTGCAATTTTTTATCTGAGGTCTTGGCTAATTTCTTTTGGTTTTCCCATGATGTCAAGCAAAGGTAGGCCTTGAAATACATCCACAGGTACACCTCCAATTGACTCAAATTATGTCAATTAGCCTATCAGAAGCTTCTAAAGCCATAGTTTGTTAACAAGAAATTTGTGGAGTGGTTGAAAAACAAGTTTTAATGACTCCAACCTAAGTGTATGTAAACTTCCGACTTCAACTGTATGTTTATTTAATTCAATGTATGGTTTCCTTTGTTCATATTTCCAAGATGTCAGAGTTCCGTGTGTCTGTGTCCTATTTCTGTCATTCTGGTTGTGCGTAATAGGAGCGTGCGCGCCTCAGCGCCCATAGAAATAGGCTACGTGCCCTGCGCTCCACGCTTTGGAGCCAGAACGTTGAATAAGATACAATTATTGTTCCATGTATGCATGGTGTTGAAATATCATTAATAATCATTAAGTCTGATTAAGACAAATGTACTAATGGATGTGGAAATTGCCTTTTACATTGTAGAACCAGTTTATTGGTTGTAATTGCCAATTGGATAATTGTATGGTCCTGGGGGCCAAGTGCTTATATTATGTAGGCCTACCCGTTTGAGCTCCTGTTAGACAGATTATATTTAGTTTCTCAAGGGGAGGCTGTACAGTCTTGCCCTCTATACCTGTGTCCATTCAGATAGGACAGCATAAGCCTGATACAGAGGCTATTTCTTTTGTGCTATTGCCCGTGTATATTTGTTAAATATACTTGTATATTTTGTATGATATGAGGGGGAGTAGCTCAACAGGATTTAGATGACTGATTTTAGCACCCCTAGAATTGAGAGAATTTCTAGCACACCATAAACGGAACTGAGTAGTAATAATGGGAATTATCTGAATGGCATGGGCTGTCAGAGAGACATTGCCAGGCGGGAGGCACAGGAGAGCTGAGAAATGTCTACTCATGCATTGTGACGAATGATTACACTTCATCGGTCCAACAAGGCTCATTGGAACTGAACTTGACGTGATAGAAACTAATAATGAGAGAGAGGATGTGAGAGAGTTTAACATTATAACCTTTACCACCCCCCTTACCCCCCCCCCCCCCCCCACCCCATTAATGCATGGCCCTTGTGTGAACAGGAAAAAACAAATTCTCACTTGTTTCACATATACAGTATTTGCCATAGGATTATGTCACTGAAGCAGAGAGAGAGAGAGCGAGAGAGAGAGAGGGGAAAAGGTAAAAGAGAGAAATCTAGATTGAAAAGAGCTGAGTGAAAGCGGAGGGATCAGGGGGATCAAGAGAGGGAGGTGGAGGGAAAAGGGAGGGAGGAAAGAGAGAGAGATGCCAGACTCCAGGGAGGGACCCGAGTCTTGCTTTAGGCATTAATTAATTGAGCAGAAGAAAGTGCCCTGGGGAGATTGGAAAGGGACAGGTGCTAGCACAGCCGTGCAACAGATGTCTACCTGGCTATTGCCACGCTCTCCCTGTCAAAATGTCACCAGCCAACCAGCACAGACTGCACAGCGCAGATTCCACCAGTCAACCAGCCAGCTCCCAACACTTCACCACAGACACAGTGACAATGTTGGCAACACACAACTTAATTCCAACCATTGTAACACAGTTAGTCACACATTACCATGTTACAACATCCAACAACATGCTAAACCACTGCAACACATTTATAAAGGTATGTGCACTTTGTGTTAGAATGTTCAGAGCAGGAGTCTGTCTTTTTAATACCATTACCTCACTGATACAATGAAGTCAGAGTTTATTTAAAGTGCATTTAACAGTGCTAACACACCACCTTACAAAGTTAAAAAGAGGAACAAAACTATGAATGGGACAATCACTTCTTGCTCCATTGACTGTTTGAAATAATGTAATGGTGTTGTTAGATAAGTGTAATAATGTATGGTAGATACAGTGCCTTGGCAAAAGTATTCATCCCCCTTGGCGTTTTTCCTATTTTGTTGCATTACAATCTGTAATTTAAATTGTTTTTTGGGGGGATTTCATGTAATGGACATACACAAAATAGTCAAAATCCCAGTGGCTAGATGTGCCAAACGTATAGAGACATAACCCAAGAGACTTGCAGCTGTAATTGCTTCAAAAGGTGGCTCTACAAAGTATTGATTTGGGGGGGGGGGGGTGAATAGTTATGCACGCTCAAGTTCTGTTTTTTTGTCTTATTTCTTGTTTGTTTCACAAGAAAAAATATTTTGCATCTTCAAAGTAGTAGCCATGTTGTGTAAATCAAATGATACAAACCCCCAAAAAAATCCATTTTAATTCCAGGTTGTAAGGCAACAAAATAGGAAAAATGCCAAGGGGGTGAATACTTTCGCAAGCCACTGTAGATGAGCAAATTTAGCACCAAGGAGATTAACATACATTAGAGTACTATAAACATCACAGCTTTACGTGATAGAAAGTAGTAGGCTACAATACAGGCAGTACTTTAATAAAGTTATTGCTAATTAAATGCATTTTCAATGGGGAGTCAGTCAGCATGCACGGACGCAAATGGCCATCATATTCTAGTCTGCATAGAGAGCTTACAGTATAGAGGTGTGATCACACTTATGATGCTGGCTCTTATACTGCATCTATGCCCCCTACTGCACCCGGTAATCACATCCACTAGAAATAGAGACTAGGGCCCATATCCACAAAGCATCTCAGAGTAGGAGTGTTGATCTAGGATCAGTTTCGCCTTTTATATCATAATGAATAAGATTATATGGCCAGGTTGGGAACCGATCCTAGATCAGCACTCCTACTCTGAGACGCTTTGTGGATACGGGACCTTATTCCCTTTATAGTGCACTACTTTGACCTGGGCCTATTGAATGGTTCCTTTGCTCTGCCGGTGAGAGACTTACTGTTATTGTCTGCATGGTATAATTACTTGCTTGTGATGCACTTTGTGACACAGGGAGAGGGGAAGAGTGAGGGGAGGGAGGGAGGGATGCAGGTACAGTCCTAGGGAAGGGGCTACTGCTGGAGAATAGCATAAACTCTAATATCATGATGTGGCAAAATCCGACCCACACTACAAGGCTAGAGCCATGCATTTATGATAGTCATTGGAAGACAAACTCCAAAAAGAGGTGTGTGTGAATGGGAGAGCACAACTTTTCCGTTGAACACTATTGGGCTATCATCTCCATGTCAGCGGCTGGGCTACACTGTTTGAGAAAGGGTAGAGTTACGATGAGAAGAAGCTTGACTCCCAAGCAGTTCTACCACCTTACATCAGTTGGCAGAGAATGGATGTTATGGATGTTGTGGAATGGTGCAAGCTTGGATTGGAAAATGAAGAACATCTGGGAATATGGAGCTTCTGCCAGAAGTGAATTGGTGGTGTGTGTGGGTGTCGGGTGTGTGTTTGTGTGCTTCTGTTTGTGTCTGTGTGTGTGTGTGTGTGGTGGTAGGCCAGACCAACTGTCTCAAGTCCATCTCAAGAAGTGGAAGCAGCAGGATGGGCAACTGTCCTGCAGTACTGTATGTTGCTGCCAGACCAATGGCGTGTCCCAAATTACACCCTATTGCATATATAATGCACTACTTATGACCATAGCTCTATGGCCCCTGGTCAAAAGTAGTGCACTATAGAGGAAATAGGGTGCCATTTGGGCCACAGCCCAGAGGTGGTGGTGGTGGTAGACCATCTGGTTAGAGCACTATGTCTTCTGCAGTGTTTCCAAATGATTATTCTCTAGGTGGAGCGCAAAGCAACATCCAGGTCAATAGAAACCAACAGAAGCCAAACTATTTTAGGCAGGAGGGAACACAGCTACATGGGTCAGTGTGTTGTGTGTGTGCACGCATCTAATCGTCATTCGTTTTCATGCTTCGTTAAGGGACTGTGCCATCACATTTTCGGGGAACACGTTCAACACAGCCTTGTCAGATCTAAAACCCTCATCTTTACAGTGAGGATTTTGACATATTTGTCCTCACTGATTTGAAGGGACTGAATCAGTCAATCTACTGGGAAGTCAATCAAAAGAAAGCCAGTGGTCAAACCAGAGTACCACAGAGTGTCAGGGAAGAGGGGGATATTATTGGGTTGATATAGTAGATAACTCACCTTGTATGAAGACCCTCTTCCACATGATCCTGCCGACATGGTTTCCCCCAAGGAAGATGAGGTTGGACAGGATGAGCATGGCTGTGGAGAAGGCTGAGATGAGAGCCAAACATCGCCTCCTCATGGCCGGGGAGATACAGCGCTCCTAGAGATAGGAGGAGTAATGCAGTCACTATCATAACAGTTACAGTCACATACAGAGGAAAGAGCAACATAACAGTTACAGTAACATACAGAGGGAGGGGCAACATAACAGTTACAGTAACATACAGAGGGAGGGGCAACATAACAGTTACAGTAACATACAGAGGGAGGGGCAACATAAATATTACAGTGGAGAAGGCCTCCGGGGAGAGACAGCACTCCTACAGAGGGAGGAGCAGCATGCTGTCACTACTAGGTATGTGACAACTGGACAATGTTTCTTAACGTTTAAACAGTGCTTTTGTTATCGGTTTTTCCGTTAACGCGATAAGAACATTTTGTAAAATTCCAAGTGAATTCACAATGCAGATGGTCTACATCACGCTTTCCTCTTTTCAGGAGAGTGGCACATGTAGCTTGTTGTTGTTTTCATACAATTACAAGTCATCAAACCATCACTAGGCAAGTTAATAGGAGATACAGTATCTATACTAATCAATGGAAGATGGAATTAAAATGACAGAACTAAAAGTGAAATGAGAAGGACAGGCTACCACACCAATAGCCAACAGGTAGGCTGAATAGAGTTGTTGTTAACTAGCTTCTCTTGGTTTGATGCAGTCAAGAACAAGACAGGTACTATGTAATCAGATGAGATGATAAATAACTAGCAATAAGTTAGTCTACCAGCACATCTCTCCCCCTCCCTGCTCCCCTCGTCACTCACAGACGCACACTGCATGGCCCCTTCCCCACTCCTTGTTTGAGTTGCTGCGCATTACACTTCCAGTTAATAAACTAGCTAAAAAAACTAACGTTACAGCATTGTTGCGTTAAGTGTTCGTAGTTTTTTTCCCCTCTATATGATGATGATGATTGGGACCTGTTAGTGGTAGTTTTGTGATAACTGCAATGTGTTTTTTTACGATCTCAATTCACATCCCTAGTCACTACCATAACAGTTACAGAGGGAGGAGCAACAAGATGTCACTACCATAACAGTTACAGGGGGAGGAGCAACAAGATGTCACTACCATAACAGTTACAGAGGGAGGAGCAACAAGATGTCACTACCATAACAGTTACAGAGGGAGGAGCAACAAGATGCCACTACCATACCAGTTACTGAGGGAGGAGCAACAAGATGTCACTACCATACCAGTTACAGAGGGAGGAACAACATTTACATTACATTTACATTTTAGTCATTTAGCAGACGCTCTTATCCAGAGCGACTTACAGTTAGTGAATACATATATATATTTTTTTTCATACTGGTCCCCCGTGGGAATTGAACCCACAACCCTGGCGTTGCAAACGCCATGCTCTATCAACTGAGCTACATCCCTGCCGGCCATTCCCTCCCCTACCCTGGACAACGCTAGGCCAATTGTGCGCTGCCCATGAGTCTCCCGGTCGCGGCCGGCTGCGACAGAGCCTGGATTCGAACCAGGATCTCTAGTGGCACAGCTAGCACTGCGATGCAGTGCCTTAGACCACTGCGCCACTCAGGAACAACCTACTATCATACCTGAACTAGTGAGTTTAATTAAAAAGCATTAGGTCCATCTGTACGAGCCTAAAAATAAAGTCTCATTCACACATGCTGAGCAGGGGAATGGAACTGTTTACGGTTCATGACACATTTTTCAGTACTACTGTAGCCATCTGTAATAATTCCCTTCATTTCTGGTGAAGGAGGTGAGGGAGCTAAACAAATAGCTGCCTGGGGAGAGAAATAGGAACTGGGCGGAGAGGAGGGAGGGAGGTGGGGCAGTGGAAGAGGGAGAATAGGAGACTTGCGGAAATCAGCAGAAGCATCCCTACTTCCCCTCATCAATCATCCTATCACTGTCATAAAACACACAGGCAGACACACACACACACATCTAGCTGTGTTCCCTCCTGCCTAAAAGAGTTTGGCTTCTGTTGGTTTCAATTGACCTGGATGTTGCTTTGCGCTCCACCTAGAAGAGACTAATCTAGCGGAAACACTGCAGCATACTGCAGGACACACACACACAGGCAGCCTGGTCAGAAGGAGTGGGCTGGGAGGCTCGAGGGCGGAAGGAGTAGAGGGGTGTAGACTGATAAACTACGATAAACTGCAGAATGACAATCATGTGGAATGGGTGCAGTGAGAAGTGTAATAGAAAGATGTGGGTGTTGTACCCAGTTTCCCTCCTTCAGGGAACAGTACGTTATGTTCCCTTTCAGTCAGTCAACTTCGGTACAACATGCTATGGGGAAATATAATCATGCCCCAAGCCGACCCCAACGGATACTAAAAGAAAACGGCCCATGGCAGACCACCCAGACCTGACCCCGCCAGATGCAGCAGTCTGGGTATTGCGCACACGGTGCGCAGCCTAGAGACGTTCCCATGTCCCAGCAGTAAGCACACTGGGGCTACACTGGGAGCAGTGACATCCAAGCGATAAAACCTTATAAAAGTGTGTGGTGATGCCCAACTCGCCGCAGCACAAATATCTCCTATAGTCAACCCTTTAAACAACACCCAAGACACTGCCAGACCCCTGGTGGAGTGGGCGCGTACACCGCTAGGTCACCCTTGCCCCTTGCTGCTATATGCCAGGGGGAGAGTGGCCTGCCGCAGCTGGATCAGCAAAAAAAAAAAAAAAAGCTGGTCAACTAACCAGATATCCTGGGTCCGTTCAATGTATGTGCGTAAAGCTCACAATGGACACAGGACACAAGCTCTGTTGCTCTTCAGAAGCAAAAGAAAAATAACTCAAAAGGACCTGTAGGACATAGACATGATTTTCGGGGCGAAGGCCGCATTTGGACGCAATGTCACAGAGTCGCCCGGGGGAACTGAGTGCCGGATAACGCGTGAAAATCCCCAACATGTTTAGCCGAGGCCAAAGCCATGAGCAGGGAGGTTTTGTAAGACATGATCTTCAGATCCAACGACTCCAGAGGCTCAAAGGGGGCCGCACACAGTGCCTCTAAAACTAGCGCCATGTCCCATGTGGGCGCAATAGGTTTAAAGACTGGTCTGAGACAACGTACACCTTTCAGGAACTGCACAACCAGGGGGTGGGCCCCATGTTAGGCTCCGTCAATTCCCACATGACACCCTTAGATAGCCATGTACACGTTTAACGTGGAAAATGCCCGCCCCTGCTCAAAAAGCTCCTGTAGGAACATAAGGATGTCCCTCACAGTCCTTTATCCTGGCACCAGAGATCAAATGCTTGCCACATATTCACACACATACAGCGCTCTCGTGTAAGGGTGCCCTTGCAGACTGAATGGTAGCAATAACATCCAGAGGTAAACCTCTAGCCATCAGATAGGCCCTCTCCGGGGCCAGGCCCATAGGAACCAAATCTCCAGCCTCGCTTGCCAAACCTGCCCATGCGCCTGAACCAAGGCTGTCTGGGCCAACAGGGAGCCACAATAATCAATAATAAGCCCTGCCGGCTCACCCTCTTCATCGTGGGCTGAATCAGAACCACTGGCGGAAACGCGTAAAGGAGGGTCCGAGGCCTCTGGTGTGACAGAGCGTCTGTTCCCAACGGGGCACTCGGGTCCCTCATCGAGAAAAATAGACGACACTACGCATTTTCTCGTGATGCGTAAAGCTCTACGTCGGCCCTGCTGAACATTTCCCATATTATGGAGACCACCCAGGGATGTAGCATCCACTCCTGAGAGAGAGTGTCTCACCTGGATAAAATATCTGCACCTTAGTTGAGGCAACCGGGGACATGCGTCGTCCAAAGCGAGAGCATGTGCGAACTGCTCCACAGCAATAGGGAGTGAGCCATGTCTGTTGATGCACTTTGTTGGTTCTGACCAGCACAAGCCGGCCCAACAAAGGCAGGGGGAAGCACCTGAGCGCCAGATACACCATTAAGAGCTCCGGGTAAATTATATGCAGTGCGCTCCGCACCAGTGTCCATACACCCCGAATCGAGGTGCCGTCGTACAGCGCACCCCACCCTCGGAGGGATGTGTCTGTCGTGATCACCTTGCGGGATACAACTCAGCCCATGGGAGTCCCCTGACAATAGCATGACAGGGACACCCGAAGCGACTGCTCAAGATGTTTCCAGGTGAGTGGCTAGCACTTAGTGCTAGAAGGGCCGCATCAACAATAGCCCCACGGGAACGACTTCCATCACAGAAGCTATCATCCCCAGTCAGCATTGGCAAAAATGCACTGTGTGACCCAGCCGAAATTTGAACCAAGACATCCTCCATGGAATCTAGCTCAAGACCCAGAAACGAAATGCGCTGAGATAGAGTCAAACAGCTATTTTTCTGCTTTCTTATGAAGCCTAGAGACTGAATACGGGACAGCAGCATGGATGTGTGTAATGTCACTTGTCCCCTGGACCAGCCAATCGGCTGTAATAGTCGGCGGCTCGTGAGCATTCTGAGCATTCCGTCCCTTTTCGGAACCAGGACATACCGGCTGTACCAGCTGTCCTGGATCTTCGACACAGGAACCATTCAGATTGCCTGCTTCTGGAGATGGAGGCGATATATTCTCACTCAAAACGGGCGCTGAGGCCTCCAGAACAGTCAACATAATGATGATGCAGAAGCGTGGGGGACACACAACAAATTGTAGCCTGTACCCTGACGGGACGCCATCTTGTGGACTGGGAGAGATTGGTTCTTCTTCCATTTCCACCACTCTTGACAACCGTGTGTCTGAACATGGAGAAGGGACACTTTTCATCGAACTCACATACGGAAGACAACACTTTTGGACACCTGTGAACACTGTGTAACTCTGGAGTTTGCCTAAAGCCTGGCCCACTCTCGGTACAAGGGCTTCGGCGATCAGTGACGAACCCCGATTGGCAGTACCACCTGGGAGTACTGTTGTCACAACAAACCTCACTCGTTTAAGGCGGTAAGATGCATTACGGTAACCAGCTGGCACCCAGCACTGGACCACACACATTAAAAATAGACCCAGGGAAAAAAATTTGTAGCTGGGATTGGAACAGACAGCTCAGAAAAACAAACCCCTTCTGTGGTAACAGACAGGGGCGATTCGTAATTGAATCGAATTCCCAGGAATAGAAAGTGGTGAGCTGGAGAAAGACAGCTAATTTCAGAGTCCATATGAACCACAGAGACGGTGTGTTGGATAATAGCATGGTCGTGTCCAACCCTGCTGGACTCCGCTACCAACCACCACATGAACACCATGGAACGCGGGGTACCAGAGGGGCATTAAACAGGGACAAGTTTCCAACACACATTGTGCTTCCGTAAGACTGTATAGCCTGCATGAAGCCCAGCCCTCTTATGGGCACAGAGGGCTCCCGCAATGTCAGACATAATACCCCATTTGCCGTAAAAGAAACGTGTGGGCACCGTCGTCACAGCAATGTTTTTGTGGAGTTGTGCAGCTGCTCAGGGGAGGAGCACGCAATCCTCACCCTCTCTATTCCCTCCAACTCCAGGAATTGAAAAAAGGAATGGGGTTGTAGGCAGGGCTAGTAAGCATCATTTACAGTTATGCATGCTAGCCGACGTTAGCCAGGAGGCTCTTTAGTCTAAGCTAGGCTAGCTAGCCTCTGACCGCAGCACGGTCCGTTTAGAATAACCAAGCGACTTAACGCTACGTACAGTATATACTAAACAAGATAGCTAGCTAGTAGTAGCTAGCTCGCCTCGGTGCGTTAGCTTACCCGGCTAGCACGCTATGCAGCGCTTGTTAGCTAGCCTGGTCTTGAAAGTGTGCGTAGGACCGGATCACCCAGGTGGGATCCAGACCCTTCTGGGAAGAGAGGCAAGCGGTGCCTAATCAAGGCAGACACAGGCGGTGGGGGGGATACCCACAGAACCTGGTCGCCCTCTCTCAGAGAAGCGTCCCGTAACTGTTGACAGAGCATAACACAGGAACCGGGAGACATTTGACTAGACCAATGACCCAAACCACCTCCGCGTCCCGCAACGCAGACTCAGCTGAGGTAAGGGCACCCGGGAGAGGAAGTCACTATCGGAAACACCAAGCCCCCTAAAGGACAGTGCCAGCCGTCCCCTAGTCTCCCACACAAACAGATTTGAGCGAGGGCAGCCTGAGCATGCACCGAGCCGAGACATACAAGACAACCAACGTGAGTATCTTTTAATTCATTGGGGCATGGTTGCAAACCCGAACCCGGCTTGTTAGCTTTCATTGTTTCGGTCACGTTAGCCATCTTACCTATTGCTATAGACAGGCCAAGCAATTAGAAGAATAACTAATGATTGATTAGGAAACTTATGACAACCACACAAACTTCAGCGCACAACGTCCAGGGGGCGGGCAAGCTCTACCACTAAGGGACAGTTTATTTGGCGCAACGTAAGACAGTCTTGTTTGTTTTAGTAGCGTGAATCGTTTTGTTTCACACCGAGGTGAAGAGCGGAATAATTTAAGGAATGAATCTGAGCCTTATCACCTGTGTAAGGCATGGCTTCCAGCGAGGCGCGGATTTCATTGGCCTTGTCAGGCGTGATTGTAGATCCTTCAAGTCGCTAGAGTGCGACTCCCCCATAGTATGTTGTACTGAAGTTGACTGACCGAAAGGGAACCGATAAGTGGTTGTCATATGTAAGAGAGTGTCATTTAGTTAATAAGAGAACAGAGGAGTTTACTCCTCTCCTAAATTGCCTCCTCCAGTGTAGGATGCTCAGGTGTATCCTACCGTGGAAGAGTTTTGAAATCCGTCACACCCCCTTTGAAAGAGCTGTCTGTGATGATAAAAGCATACACACATTTAAAAACAATAAGCTGCGTATCCTTTTATCTATAAAATGTCTAGCACAACTAGCTAATTTCTTTTTACCACATTCACATGTATTTCGGGATTCCAAAGTCATTTGCCTGAGGACACGCTAGAGGAGTCTCATTTCATACAAGTGCATTTGTTTCCACGTTTTCTCTCCTCGAATAACTTTAACCTTTTTCAAAAGAGGACGCAAGGATTCAAGATTCTCCCAGAGAGAGAGAAAGAGAGAGCGAGCGAGAGAGAGAGAGAGAGGCAGAGAAGGAGAGAGAAGCTAAAAGAGAGCGAAATAAAGAAGGGAGAGGGTCCAGGCCTCAGCTTCACTCCCCTTCCAGTGTGATGGAGAGTCAGCCAACAGACCCAGGCTTGACTAAGCACTTTGTGTGTGTGTGTGTGTGTGTGTTCATGCGTGCGAGTGTGTGTGGGTTGAGCTGATAAGTCCTCCCACATCGTTTTTATGGCTTTGCTGTAAATCGCAGTCAACACAGAGCAGTGCGTTCAAACATATACAGACAGACACCAACACACAAACACCCACACAGACACCAACCCCACCCACACGGAAAGACCAGATTAATTTCAAAGAGCCTTAGAGGAACAGTTAGTAATTCAGTAAAAAGTAGTTGGGACCGTTCTACAGACACATGAGTTAAGGCAATGTCCGGGGAAATCGATAGGTTGATTCCATTTTCGCACACATTTGCAAAACCTGTGACGGTCAATCATTCATTCATTTACAATCATGTGTTCTCACAAACAATAGAGGGGTAGATGAGAGCTAAGGTGAGTAAGGACTTCAGTCACTTACAATAGATGGATAGACGAGGGGAGAAGAGAGGAGGATCGTCACTCCATTCTCCACCAGCACCCCGACCCAGTTCATCAGAGCCCAGTACTGTAGGTAGTCATGTCCTCCATGCCAGAAACACACAAAGCCAAATGCCAGAGCCGTGGACAGCATCTTCCACAGCAGCCCATGGTGAGAGCCTCCTAATGGGATGTAAATGTACCTGGGACAGGGAGAGCGACAAAGTCAGCAACCACGGGTAGCATGGACTTCAGAAAGACATGATACACAAAACACAGGGCTACCAGGTAACAGAGCATGTGAGTGGAGTTGAGCAGGTTGGAAATCCCGGTCATCGCTCATGGAGCTCCAGCGCTCCACATCCTCTCCAACCGCTCCAATACAAACTGCTACTCACAAAAAAAAATATATAAAAAAATAATGCTGCTCCGAATTCGCTCCATTCGTTAAAATCACAATTTAACCAACACCCATCTACACGGAACAAAAGTACACAACATGTAAAGTTTTGGTCCCATGTTCAATGAGCTGAAATAAAAGATCCCAGATATTTTCCATAAGCACAAAAAGCTTATTTCTCTAAAATGTTGTGCCAAATTTGTTTACATCCCTGTTAATGACCATTTCTCCTTTGCCAAGATAATCCATTCACCTGACAGGTGTGGCATATCAAGAAGCTGATTAAACAGCATGATCATTACACAGGTGCACCTTGTGCTGGGGACCATAAAAGGCCACTCTAAAATATGCCGCTTCGTCACACAACACAATGCCACAGATGTCTCAAGTTGAGGGAGCGTGCAATTGGCATGCAGACTGCAGGAATATCCACCAGAGCTGTTGCCAGAGAATTGAATGTTCATTTCTCTAACAACGTTGTTATAGAGAATTTGGCAGTACGTCCAACTGGCCTCACAACCGCAGACCACGTGTATGGCGTTGTGTGGGGGCGAGCGGTTTGTTGAGTGCCCCATGGTGACGGTGGGGTTATGGTATGGGCATGCATAAACTACGGACAAAATTGCATTTTATCAATGGCAATTTGAATGCACAGAAATACCGTGAGGAGATCCTGAGGCCAATTGTGAGGCCCATTTCTTTTAAGGTATGTGACCAACAGATGCATATCTGTATTCCCAGTCATGTGAAATCCATAGATGAGGGCCTAATGAATTTATTTAAATTGACTAAAATCTTTGAAATTGTTTCATGTTGCATTTCTATATTTTTTCAGTATATTCTTGTGACTACCTGGACCTACCATTTGGTTTTGAAGTATTGAAACCAAACCATAGGATTGGAATTAAAAGTATTTTAATAAACAACAGGAAAAGGTGACTGTAAGAAGCGCTCATCATTTCAAATAGGCTACATGTGGTATTAAACAGCATATAAAACACTAAATAGGTCAGGAGCCAGACAGGTAGTCAAGAAATAATGAAAATGAATTATTTAGGCTATATTATTTAAATTATGTCAAGGCTATAGCCTACAGATCAAATACATTGTGAAGCATTTGCGAGTGCAACACAATAGGCTGGTAGGGACATAAAGGGCTCAGCATTTAAACAACATTCTGTTGTATTAAATCATTATAGTCTATAAATTGCACATATACACTACCAGTCAAAGGTTTGGACACAGCTACTCATTCAAGGGGTTTTCTTTATAATATTTTTTACATTGTAAAATAATAGTGAAGATATCTAAACTATGAAATAACACATATGGGATCATGTAGTAACCAAAAAAGTGTTAAACAAATCAAAATATATTTTATATTGGAGATTCTTCAAATAGCCACCCTTTGCCTTGATGACAGCTTTGCAAACAGTAAGAACATCTTGTGCGTAACGAGACCAGGGATGCAGAGATAATTACACTATGATGAATGTGTTTCATAAAAAAAATACCCTACCTCTTTGCATGCAGAGAGACACCCACTACAACGAATGATGAAACTCTAAATTGGAAAGGAGGGATTTCTCAGATGTTCTACAGCTATACACAGTCTCTGGGGTACGACGAGGGGTAACCGGTTGTATGTGTGTGTGTGTAAGTAAGTATGAAGAGTGGTAACACAGAGCGGCGATTCTTGTTCTCCCACACGCCTTCCTCTTTCTTGTTTTTAGCGGAGTTTGACATTCAGCATGGTTCCGTTTCTTCTTCGTAGAAGCAGTACTGGGTAGCCGTCATGAAAAAGTAATTATTGTAAATTCAAGGCCACACAACAGACAGGATAACAAGATTCACAGGTGTTTGAATCAAAATGTAACAGCATTTTCTTTGTATGTGTTTGCTTTGCAATCTGCTGATGCAGACCTAACCATAGGATGAGGAAAACAGAGGTAAAGCTAGAAAGAAAGCTAGAAAGCAAGCAAGCAAGCAAGCAAGCAAGCAAGCAAGCAAGCAAGCAAGCAAGAAAGCAAGAAAGCAAGAAAGCAAGAAAGCAAGAAAGCAAAGAAAGAAAGAAAGAAAGAAAGAAAGAAAGAAAGAAAGAAAGAAAGAAAGCAAGCGAGGGAAGTGGAGAAAACAGTTTAAGATTAGAATAGCATAACAAACTCTAGCCTAGAAACATATCACCAATGTAGACTAGCGAGTGTGCTTTTCTTTTCTCAAGTGAGTGTGTGGGGGTGGATTTGTCATCTCCTCTTCTCCTCTGTGTCACTTATACAATTAATATCACTGTGTGTGTTTGGGAGGCTGCCCGTTGTCATCCGCTCTGCTCCTGTGGCGTCTCACTAATCCCCAAAGGAGACACAACGGTCAACCCGGCACCAAATCTTACAACACAGCCCTCCTATCGTGAACACAGATTCTACCACAGCTTTCACACAGACACTCAATGTAACACAGATTTGTACCGCAGCAAAAACTCAATGTACCACAGCAACACCTGATTGCACCCGATCTGCCAACATAGCCCTCTTATCGCTAACAAAGATTAGATCTACCGCTTTCAGACAGACACTCACTGTTCTTACCACAGCAACACTCACTGTTCTTACCACAGCAACACTCACTGTTCTTACCACAGCAACACTCACTGTTCTTACCACAGCAACACTCACTGCATTGTTAGAACTTTACTCTCTGACTGTCATAATCAGCCTGTTTGTTCAAGGTTGAATCAATTAGGCCACTGCTATAATGCTCAATACAAGTATTAAGCAATTGTACAAAAGACAAGGGAGGAGAAAAATACCCTCTGCCTGGCGTCACCATTCTGCTCATATTAAAAAAGACAAGGTAGCACACAATTGGAGCCTAACTTCCAATTTGTGCCCCAGACACATTGTTTGCTATTGTTGCTGTGCATATTGTTATGGAATAGTTAGGTAGTTGAGATGTTAAGAGCACATTTCGACACTACACTATCACTTCCACACTCCAGCCCCAGGTGGCAGCATCAATCGGGCCAGGAAGTCTTGTTAAGTGTTGATTGTGCACAGTGGTGGGCAATTAAAGTTACTGCTGGTGATGGCAGCGTGAGAACTTCTAGGCCAGGCAGGCCTGCCCACTTTTCTTGGATTATTTGTGTTTGGGATGCAAGCCCTTTTTGTTTCCTTTTTGTACAAATTATTTTGGTTACCATCAACTTGAACAACAGTAACTCGCTTGCGCTCGTCAATCAATGGGGTCAAGACAGAGCTAGCTCTGGACTCTGGACTCAAAGTGTATTGGTTGCGTATATAGTTTAGCAGATGTTATAGTGGGTGCAGTGAAATGCTTGCTACTAGCTCCTACCAATGCAGTAAAATGTCAAACAAGTCAACAAATAATCAAAAATTAACACATTGTTTAAAAAACACAAATAATCAAATTAATGAAACACAAATAATCAAATTAACAACCCAAATAGCACTGTAACAGTAATCCAAATACAATCTATATTTACATTTTAGTAATTTAGCAGACGCTCTTATCCAGAGCGACTTACAGTTAGTGAGTGCATACATTTTTCATACTCTACCTGAGATATACAGTGGGGAAAAAAAGTATTTAGTCAGCCACCAATTGTGCAAGTTCTCCCACTTAAAAAGATGAGAGAGGCCTGTAATTTTCATCATAGGTACACGTCAACTATGACAGACAAATTGAGGAAAAAAAATCCAGAAAATCCCATTGTAGGATTTTTAATGAATTTATTTGCAAATTATGGTGGAAAATAAGTATTTGGTCACCGACAAACAAGCAAGATTTCTGGCTCTCACAGACCTGTAACTTCTTCTTTCAGAGGCTCCTCTGTCCTCCACTCGTTACCTGTATTAATGGCACCTGTTTGAACTTGTTATCAGTATAAAATACACCTGTCCACAACCTCAAACGTCACACTCCAAACTTCACAATGGCCAAGACCAAAGAGCTGTCAAAGGACACCAAAAACAAAATTGTAGACCTGCACCAGGCTGGGAAGACTGAATCTGCAATAGGTAAGCAGCTTGGTTTGAAGAAATCAACTGTGGGAGCAATTATTAGGAAATGGAAGACATACAAGACCACTGATAATCTCCCTCGATCTGGGGCTCCACGCAAGATCTCACCCCGTGGGGTCAAAATGATCACAAGAACGGTGAGCAAAAATCCCAGAACCACACGGGGCCTAGTAAATGACCTGCAGAGAGCTGGGACCAAAGTAACAAAGCCAACCATCAGTAACACACTACGCCGCCAGGGACTCAATCCTGCAGTGCGAGACGTGTCCCCCTGCTTAAGCCAGTACATGTCCAGGCCCGTCTGAAGTGCATTTGGATGATCCAGAAGAGGATTGGGAGAATGTCATATGGTCAGATGAAACCAAAATATAACTTTTTGGTAAAAACTCAACTCGTCATGTTTGGAGGACAAAGAATGCTGAGTTGCATCCAAAGAACACCATACCTACTGTGAAGCATGGGGTTGGAAACATCATGCTTTGGGGCTGTTTTTCTGCAAAGGGACCAGGACGACTGATCCGTGTAAAGGAAAGAATGAATGGGGCCATGTATCGTGAGATTTTGAGTGAAACCCTCCTTCCATCAGCAAGGGCATTGAAGATGAAACGTGGCTGGGTCTTTCAGCATGACAATGATCCCAAACACACCGCCCGGGCAACGAAGGAGTGGCTTCGTAAGAAGCATTTCAAGGTCCTGGAGTGGCCTAGCCAGTCTCCAGATCTCAACCCCATAGAAAATCTTTGGAGGGAGTTGAAAGTCTGTGTT